TAATATCTAAGTATTTATGAACAGTTTTAAATATTTTAGCTTTTTCATCATATGTATTACTTCTTTGCCCGAAAAGTAAGGATTGGCTGTTTTTGTTTTTCATCGGAAGTTTATCAATTGTTTCCTTTCTAGCTTTTAGAAATCTAGGGCAATGAAAGAAAAAGTGTTCACAATCCTCTATAGTATTTCCACAATGGCAAAGAGGGTCATCTGATTAACATTTTTTGAGATTTTAGATCACTTTTGAGATTTCTTAATTTACAGTGAATAATTTCATTTTGTCTATTGCCTATACAATAGAGTTCGGGTGCTGGCTGTACATAATTTTTTTGCTTAAGCTATGCTTTAAATTGTGATAGCGTTCGTGATTTTCATATGTCGCTAGCAAGATTATTCCAATCTTTGATTACTGACGGAAAAAACGAGTTTTGATAGTGTGAGGTTCTGCAGTGTATTTGCTTAATATTGTCAGAGTTTCTCAATTGATATGATTGATGTGATGAAATTCGAGGTGGTACGAGATTTGAGAGGGAAATCGGGACTTGATTATTCATTATTTTATAGAAAATTACTAATTTATGTTGAAGACGCCTGGAAGAAAGAGAGGTGAAGCCAGATTCTTTAAGTAATACCTGGTGAGAAGTGCCTCTTGGTAATCCGGTGATTGTTCGAATTGCATCCAGATGGAGTTTTTCTAGTTGTTCAGACTTTTCATTTGTACAGTTGTTCCAGACGACATCCGCATAGTCAAATATTGGAAGAATATAAGATTTATATAGTATCTTGAGAGTTTTACGTTTTAATCTGTATTTGAGAGACCGGAAACAGTTTACTGTGATACTTATTTTACTTGTTAAATAGTCGATATGTGTATCCCAAGAAGCTCGGTTATTAAAGAAAACGCCCAGATGTTTATGACTAGAATCGTCTGTTATATCATAGTTATTATATGAAAGATTGAATGTTTATGTGGACAGCTTCCTTGAAAAGGTCAGGCTTTTAGTTTTCGAAGGATTGAAATCTACTTTCCATCTGATTGACCAATTACAGATTCGTTTTATATCATCATTGAAAATTTGCTGAGTAAGAGGAGGATTATCGATTACGAGGAAAAGAGAGGTATCGTCGGCGAAGATGCGTATGTTGGAGCTGATATCATCCACAATATCGTTTATGTAAACAAGGAAAAGGAGAGGGCCTAAAATAGAGCCTTGGGGAACTCCAGAGGTAACAGTTTTTGATAATGAACATTTATTTCCTAAGACGACTTTCTGAGAGCGATTTTGCAGGTAACTAACAATAAGTTTGTAAATTTTCCCTCTAATACCTATTGATGAGATTTTATGTAATAGGCCTTGGTGCCAGACTATGTCGAAGGCTTTACTTATGTCGAAAAAAATTACTTTCACTTCTAGCCCTTTATCAAGAGACTTACATATGTAGTCGTACATCTCAATCAGTTGATATACAGATGAATTTTGAGGTTGAAAACTTGATTGAAAGGGGGTAATAATTCCTTCTTTTAAAGTGAAGTTTTGGATATGTTTCCGTAGAAGTGTTTCAAAGACTTTACCCAGAGAGCTTAGCAATGAGATAGGTCTGTAGTTGGAACAGTCGTGAATATCACCTTTTTTGTACATAGGGACAATATTGGCCTTTTTCCAGCAATCTGGATATATAGATGCATCAAACAGTGTTTGAAACAGTCGATGAAGAGGATATTTCAAAGAAGGCGCTATACATTTCAGAATAAAATTGTTAATGTTGTCCGGCCCACTAGATTTTTTGCTTTTGCTTGATGTGGAATGGACTTCAAAATTTGTGTAAAATTGCTTTAGAAATCTGTAAACAATTAAAGTCAAATTAGGGCACAAACCATTATCAAATAAATGTGTTTTCGTTTTTTATCGCTTTATCATAACAATGAAATAAATTGGAAAAAGATTTATAGAGATGACTGATACAAAGGTGAACTTTCTCATTGCACTTTATAGAATGCTTTAGACAGGTATCAGGAAGGCTATAAACATGAGGTATCATTTGGTCTGTTATTGAGACAAATTTCTGCCTGTCCAAACTTGTGGGTTTTCTCTGGGTCCCCAGGTTTCATAAAGGCCATTATGAGCAAGCGAATTATTGAAATAAAAATGGAACCGTATGTTAGACCCGAAATAACCCAGTTTGTGTTGAGTGGAAGTTAAACTCCATTTCTCACTCTCTCTCTCTCTCTCTCTCTGGACAGGCGTCCTTACCAATTGGTCCAAGGATTTTGCTGTGGATCACAGTTCTGTTATCTCTGTAAAGAGATACGACAACTTTGTTTTAATCTACGATCATTTACATCTGTTAACGCATTCAAGTGTAGTGCAGTTTAATTCACTGAAAAGAACTATAAAACTTTCGCATTCTCTCAGTAATGTTAACGAACTAAATCAAATACAGAATTTTCGGATCACTGACTTTTGATACTTCTCAAGTCTTCTGTTTCATTTATGCTAGATTCAGGTCATTCTTTCTTTACATAATAGGTCAAGGAATTTAGGAAATTTTACATAAAACAAATCAATATATCATTGTTTTGTCATAGTAAGGCCAGAATTAGTTAACCATAAGTCATTGACAGCTTCAGGAAATAGGGTCAATAAGCTTCCATTCCCTCTAATCAATATTAATTATTGTTGTCCCCCGCCTTTCGAAGAAAGCAGGGGACTATTAAAATGGGTTCGTCTGTCTGTCTGTCTGTCTGTCTGTCTGTCTGTCTGTCTGTCTGTCTGTCTGTCTGTCTGTCTGTCTGTCTGTCCGTCCGTCCGTCTGTCCGTCTGTCTGTCTGTCCGTCACACTTTTTGGGACACAATAACTCTCTTCCTAATTGAGCTAGAATGTTCAAACTTGGTGTATGTGTTTATTAGGTCAATGCCTTGATGGAGTTCGAAGATGAGCATTTTCCGCTTAGGGTAAGCAGAGATAAGCAATTTGATTGGTTGATGCTTTGGGACACGATAACTCTCTTCCTAATTGGGCTAGAATGTTCAAACTTGGTGTATGTGTTGATTAGGTCAATGCCTTGATGGAGTTCGAAGATGAGCATTTTCCGCTTAGGGTAAGCAGAGATAAGCAATTTGATTGGTTGATGCTTTGGGACACGATAACTTTTAATTGAGCTAGAATGTTCAAACTTGGTGTATGTGTTTATTAGGTCAATGCCTTGATGGAGTTCGAAGATGAGCATTTTCCGCTTAGGGTAAGCAGAGATAAGCAATTTGATTGGTTGATACTTTGGGGCACGATAACTCTCTTCCTAATTGAGCTAGAATGTTCAAACTTAGTGTATGTGTTGATTAGGTCAATGCCTTGATGGAGTTCGAAGATGAGCATTTTCCGCTTAGGGTAAGCAGAGATAAGCAATTTGATTGGTTGATGCTTTGGGACACGATAACTTTAGTTCTGATTAAGTGAGATTGTTGAAACTTGGTGTATAGATTTATTATATGAATACCTTAACTAAGTTCGATAATGAACATTTTTTGCTGAGGGTAAGCAGAGTGATAAGCAATTTGATTGGTAGAAACTTTGGAACACAATAACTCTCCTTCTAATTGAGGTAGAATGTTCAAACTTGGCATAGGTGTCTATTAGGTGAATGTTTATTTTGTCATATTAAGGCCAGAATTGGTTTACCAGAAGTCATTGTCAGCTTCAGGAAATAGGGTCAATAAGCTTTCATCCCCTTTATTAATATACTTCAACTGCAAATTTTTTATGTTTTGTAGCATTTTCGTATTGTGAATAATATTCAGTCGCTCAAGTTAAACTGCTAAGTGGGTAAGACGCTAGCTCGCTAGCCTGGAGGTCTGGTGTTCGATCCCTGCATTGGCCGAGAAAGTTCATCCAGATTTTCCGGCGTGGTTCTCCCTTGTCAGTGATGCAGGACGGAGGGGCTGACAAGGAAAGCCGTCTAGTCGTTCGGATGGGACGAAAAACCGAGGTCCCGTGTACACATTGGCGTGCACGTAAAAGATCCCTTGGCAGTTGGAATTCGATATAAGAGTAGGCCGTAGTGCCGCTGTCCGGGCAAAATTTCCCTCATAGCACACTGTATGGTGTATGCCCGTCTTCATTAGCCCAGGTTAGGAGCAGAACAGTAGGACGTTAAACTCCATTTCATTTCATTTCATTTCTCAAGTTAAACTGGTTTAAAAGCCCAGGCGAACTCTGAACGTGAATATGCAGCAAATAAACCAGTTTAGAAACCTCATCTCCCTACCTGTCTTCAAGAAGGCATTTCTTAAAAGCCATCTTATCTTGGTTGGCTTAAAATGCAGGAACCCGCTTCTTCCTGGCAAACTGACAACATATGCCCATGCATAATAAACTCTAACCTTTAACCGAAAAGGTCAGAATAGTTAAAACTGGTTTTGGTTTAGCTTGTATTATTTGTGAATGTTACAGTATCCTATCAATACTAGTTTGATTATAAGCGTCTGAATGGCCTATAACATTTCTCTCTTGTTCGTTTTTTTTTTTAAAAATCTCATGATACTATTCATGGAATATAGAAAAATTTGGTTATTATTAAATTATATTTGAGTGTATATAAAGGAAGTCATATTTCATTAATAAATATCATGTTTTTACGTGTACAAGTTGCTATTTGTGCCTGGAGAAGTCGTGTAGGTACAAAAAGGGTGATGTCTAGAATCTGTCACTCTGATCTCTGTCGTGTGACATCATCTGCTAAACAGCATTTTGATTTAACGCAAAGTCATAGCACACTGTTCAGCCATCATGTTATATTACTTATACTATTCCAAATAATCGTTGACATTTATAAAAGAATATAGCTTGTTTAATTAGCCCGTGTATACATTGGCATGCACATAAAAGATCCCTTGGCATTTGGAATTTGATTTAAGAGAAGACTGTAGCGCTGCTGTCCATGTAAAATTCCCTTTATAGAACACTATACCTTTTTTTAAATTTATTTTGTTCTTTTTTTGTAGGTAAGTTTTTCTTATTGATATATATGATAAGTAAGTGACCACCCAAAAAATGCCAACAGCAAGGTGAGTTTTCACTTCATTCATTGATAATATTCTAGTATGTGTCCTCCCTTTGATCATACACTGTAGCATGTCCCACCTTTGATCATACACTGCAGTAATAGCTTCCTTTGATCATATTCTGCAGTAATGCCTCCCTTTCATCATACGCTGTAGTATGTGCCACCTTTGATCATACACCATAGCATGTCCCACCTTTGATCATACACTGCAGAATGTCTTTCCTTTGATCATACACCGTTGCATGTCCCACCTTTGATCATACACCGTTGCATGTCCCACCTTTGATCATACACCATTGGATGTTCCACCTTTGATCATACACTGCAGTATGTCTTCCCTTTGATCATACACAGTAGTATGTCCTCCCTTTGATCATACACCGGAGTATGTCCTCCCTTTGATTATACACTGTAGTATGTCTTTCCTTTGATCATACACCGTTGCATGTCCCACATTTGATCATACACTGCAGTATGTCTTCCCTTTGATCATACACCGGAGTATGTCCTCCCTTTGATCATACACCAGAGTATGTCCTCCCTTTGATCATACACCATAGCATGTCCCACCTTTGATCATACACCAGAGTATGTCTTTCCTTTGATCATACACCGTTGCATGTCCCACCTTTGATCATATACTGCAGTATGTCTTTCCTTTGATCATACACCGTTGCATGTCCCACCTTTGATCATACACCGTTGCATGTCCCACCTTTGATCATACACTGCAGTATGTCTTCCCTTTGATCATACACAGTAGTATGTCCTCCCTTTGATCATATACCGGAGTATGTCCTCCCTTTGATTATACACTGTAGTATGTCTTTCCTTTGATCATACACCGTTGCATGTCCCACCTTTGATCATATACTGCAGTATGTCTTCCCTTTGATCATACACTGTAGTATGTCCTCCCTTTGATCATACTCCGGAGTGTGTCCTCCCTTTGATCATACACCAGAGTATGTCCTCCCTTTGATCATACACTGTAGTATGTCCTCTTTTTGATCATGCACTGTAGTATGTCCTCCCTTTGATCATACACCGGAGTATATCCTCCCTTTGATCATACACTGTAGTATGTCCTCTTTTTGATCATACACAGCAGTATGTTTTCCCTTTGATCATGCACTGTAGTAATACCTCCCTTTGATCATATTCTGCAGTAACGCCTCCCTTTGATAATGCATTGAAGTATGTCTTCCCTTTGAACATACATATATATATATATATTGCAAACACCAGTCAAAAATGTTCTATAAAATATTGTTTTTTAAAGCTACAAAATCCATATCGAACATAGAATGACTGAATATAGTAGTCAAATTCAAATATAGTCGACAAAACGGATCAGTAATTGTTAATTAAAACACACGGCAAAATACAGCAAAAATATGTCACTACAGATACATATGTTTATGTTTATCCATACACAAGATAACTACTAGTCAAGACGCTGTTCTCTTTCTAAAAATCTTTCTGAACATTATGAGGATTAGAATTTTCAGATCTTTTTTTAAGAATTTCAATAATTTCTGGAAATAACTACCAGATTTATGTCCCATAGCATACAATTCTTATATTGAATAATTGCTTGTTGATATGAAAAATGGAATAGAAGTAATAGCAGTTATAAAAAAAAAAAATCAACGGAAAGCATCTTGCCTGAAGATCTTTTAAAATCAGAATGGCTTAAATAAAAACAGATACAAGTGTACTATGATGTCATCGCAACAAAATCGAACTCCACTAATCAATGCACAATTGTTCAAGAAACAAGCATGCCAAGTTTCATGTCAATTTTACTTGAATTGGTGGAAGCTTTGGCTTTTTTGGAAGAACCTTGAGCACCTCCAAGAAGTACAACAAGAAGATTAACAAGGTGAATAGCACTTGGGTCCCGAGTTCCTGGTCCAATAACCTTTTCTAAATTCAGTTAATGAGTATTTTTATCAAATAGGCTGATGTTCACCTTATAGTCAGATTATGTGCATCCATTGTTTTGCTGGTTTCATTCAGTAATCCTTTTCATTCAGTAATCCAAATTATTAACTTTGGAAGTACTTGTTAGAAAAAAGATAATAATTGATGCAAGCTTGCAACATTTCATGATGAAATTCAGATACTAATATGTATGCATCATATTCATTCTACTAATGTGTGTTGATTAGTTATTAATCACGATTTCAGTTTATATTTGGAGTACAGTTCTGAGGCTATAATTATTGTAAAAGGTTTTTGTAAAGTATATTTACTAATTATGATGGTTATTTCATTTAGAATTCTAATGAATGAGAGAGAGAGAGAGAGAGAGAGAAATGGGGTTTAACGTCCACTCGACACAGACTAGGTCGTTTTGGACTAATACATGGTTTTAATTTTATTTCAGTAATTCGCTTGCGCGTAGGGGTCTTTAGCAGTGGGAGGAAACTGGAGGACCCGGAGAAAACCCACGAGGTTGGACAGGCAACCCTACTCCTTGTCACGTACAACCGGGGATTCGAAACCATGCCAGTTAACTCAATGACAGGCCTCATGATACAGCGCGCACATGCTAACCATTCGGCCATCCAACCCCCCTCTATTGAAGGAAATAAATCCATCTTTTAACTGTCAATAATGGAGTAATGTGAATTTATTGCTAATAAAATATAAATTTAAATAATATGGTGATGAATCCCACTTTCTGGAAAACATACTACATATCAAAACAATTGGAATACTGGTTTTAAAGTAACGGTTTGTATTTTTTTTCGGAAAATGTCAAATTGCTCACAGATTATTCTACACTAGTATGTACTAAGGTTGAGTATGTAACATTTTATAGGGATCCACGGTGGCTAGGTGGTTAAGGCGCTGGCTCGCTAGCCTGGAGGTCGGGTGTTCGATCCCTGCATTGGCCGAGAAAGTTCATCCTGATTTTCCGACGTGGTTTCCCCTTGTCAGTGATGCAGGACGGAGGGCCTGACAAGGACAGCTGTCTAGTCCTTTGGATGAGACGAAAAACCGAGGTCCCGTGTAAACATTGGAATGCATGTAAAAGATCCCTTGGTAGTTGAAATTCAATATAAGAGTAGGCGATAGTGCCGCTGCCCAGGCAAAATTTCCCTCATAGCACACTGTATGGCGTATGCCCGTCTTCATTAGCCCAGTATAGGAACAGAACAGTAGGACGTTAAACCCCATTTCATTTCATTTCGTAACATTTTATAAAGAAAACAAAATCAGAATACCAACCCTAGATTTAATTTCCTGACTTAGGTTCAGTCAGATTTAAAACAGGCCCATCAATTTGGTTTAGGGAAAATAAAGATGACGGCTGTCTTATTACATAGGGAGCAGCATAGATTTATATAGCTAAAATCACGCATATAGAGTTGTTTGTTTACTTGACAAAAATTAGAGCATAAACAAATGACTGTATAAATACCTCTTCTCGACTGTTTATATCATTGCATGTTGAAGACTGGAGAAGCCTAGATAAAAAGTTGCTGTAATAAAAGCCAAGTCATTTCTACATGAGCAAGAATATTTTTTCAAAGCTTCTGATTTTATCAAATTCACCGGTAGTTCCCACCCCACCCCCGGCACTAAAACCAAACTTGACAGTGTCTCTACATTCCTGGACACGCCCCTGTAAGTAATTGTTATCCAATAGTTATTTATATTTAATTTATAATCGTAAATTACTAAACACCATTTTAGAAACCGTATGTTGTGGGCTGTGTTTATCTCGTACTCTTCAAACTCTTGTCTTGATGATACTATACCTCTGGATATTATCTAATGGAAGGGATAAATACAAGATAAATCTGACGTGGCAACATTTTACTCACCAATTTTGTGCTTATGCGAATAACACAAGTGCATGAAATCAGATTACGTGTTTAAATTGTATCCAGTTCGGTTTGGTTTGGTTTTGATTTGAAACTGAAGAGTGCCTAGAGCAGATTATGTCTGGCCCGATTATATTAAAGCCAGTAATTTCTTTGTTTGCCATGTATTTAGTGATGGTTGAATGTTGATGTAAATGTATATATTATGTGCTTTGGTCTTACAATACCACAATTTCTGCAACAAAATAAGAAAACAGTTTCTTGGGTTTTTTTCATGACTTGTCTGGAAAGAATTTAAAAAAGCAAAAATGTTTCAATTTCAACATACAGTAAAAATTGGTTTCACCTCATTTGTTTTTTTCCTTTATTAAGAAAGGGGGTGGGGTAGGTGGCATAATGGTTAGCACGTGCACGTTGTATCGTAAGGCCTGTCATTGAGTCAGCTGGCATGGTTTCGATTCCCTGGTTGTACATGACAAAGAGTAGGGTTGCCTGACCAACCGCATGGGTTTTCCTGGGTCCTTCTTGTTTCCTCCCACTGCTAAAGACCCCTTAGCGCAAGTGAATTATTGAAATAAAATTGAAACATATGCTAGTCCTAAAATGACCTATTTTGTGTCGAGTGGACGTTAAACTCGTTAAACTCCATTGTTAAGAGTGTACATTTTTCACTTTTTTTAAGACATATTTTGGATGGAAATTTAAAATGTATTAAAATCATAAATTGTATTCTAAAATATAAATATTCATGTGATTGTAGGGATAAATAAAATGGTAGAGTCTTAATTTTACTACATATCAGAAAATTCCCTCCTCCCCACTACCAAATGTCACAAATTTGTGTTTTAAAATATCTTCCAAATACATTTGTGGTTTAAAAACTTTTAATATTGGTTCAGTTATCAATGAAACAAAAACTATGTATAACAACTACATGTAACAACAAATGTTATATGTTAAATTGTCATGATTTCCTCCAGGCTAGAAGCAGAAACATATGTACAGTGTAATCATCTCCATTGGAAAATTATAACATGGGGGTGGCAGCTTTTTCATTTCTGGATTACTCTAAAATAGCTTGTTTGTGAATAAACAAAGACTTCAAAATGGATTTAACTATCGGTCAAGCATATCTTTTAAACTTAAAATTTAACACTGGAACTGTTTTCTGTCTTATTGGTACAATAGTTTTTTGTCTTTAATTAAAAACACAAAGAGAATTGTTTGTAGAAGTATCATTAATAGATTGAAACAGAGTTAGCATGGAATTCTAATCTGTCGACATTCAATGGCCAAACACA